CTCCAAGCGGCGAGATAACTTGTCTGAGACCACGTAGCTCCTCAGCAGTAGACCCACAAGCTGGGTCTCTTGGGTTTCAAGCGGTCACTAACCTCCTTTGCCTGGATCTCTGGTTTCCTTCCTAATTTGTTGTAACCCAGAAGTCATCATGGGTAGCCTCGGTCAGAGTGTTGCCTGGGCTCCCCGGCCTTTTGCCTATGACCTGCTCATTTCCCTGGCTGCCACAGACAGCTCGCTAAATCAACTCACCTCTCTTCTCTCTTTAATAGCTGCCGCAGTTGCAAGCAGCTCCCATCCTGCCCTGAACGCAGGCTACCCCTTCCTACCTACAGCAGTCATGAAAAGGCTCTCTGCTCACTCCTTCTATGCTTGGGTGCTGTTCTTTATGGCCTGGCTGTCACCCTGACACATTTCATAAAGTTTAGTGTACCCAGAAATTTAAGAAATTAGAGGCACCAGACTTGCCTTACCACAAGCCCTATTGAAGGTGGCCTGTCTAAAGTCACCGCTGGTAAGTGTAGGGTTAGGACTTAACCCCAGGTCTGCTTGCTCCCAGAACCTGGATGTTTAGCCCCTGAGGGCCTGTGTTTAGTGTTCTGAAGGCAGAGGGAGCTAGAAAAGCAGGCTAGAGGCAACAGAGAAGGAAGATATGTGCTACTGATGGCCTCAAGTGTCACTTGTGAGTCAAGGTGAAGTCTGAGGTGAGTTGTTAAAGAAGCATGAAGACTCACCAAGTCACACGGGTGACACAGATTCATGCATCAAGCAGAGGTTGACACACGTGTACAAACACTAACACCACACACACACATTAACGGACACAAATAGATGGGGCTGTACATAAAGTACACAAAAGACAGACACGGAAGTACACACCTGTCTGTGACTGACACCAGATTACAGCCAGACCCAGACAGACACCCTGGGACACACACATCCTGGAGGGAAAGGAAGGAAGCTCCACGCCGCCTCATTTCCTGCCCTGTCCTCCAAAGCAGAGGGAAAAAGCCTTCCCCAGAAGTGCTGAGTCAGCAGCGGGTGACAAATGAGCCTTGGGCGGCTGGGCGCGAGCACTTAACATGCGGAGCGCGTGCAAGCCAGCGCCAGTCCCGACCAGCTTGGGCGGGGGTGGGGGGGTGGGGGGGGGAGGCTCAGCGGCCCCTTGCCCGCCGAGAGGAGGCCCGAGGGAGGAAGTGACTGGCTTTGACTTTACAAAGTCGTGGACTTTGCAGCCCAAGGTCACTCAGCCGGCGTCACCAGCCTTTTTCCTGCTGGGAGGTGGAATGGGCTCTGGGTAGAGCCGGGCTGTAGCCTAAGGGAAGAGCTAGAACAGGTAGGTGAGGGAGGAGAACCGGAAGTCATCCTCTCCAGTGTGGGGCAGCTGTCAAAGGAGGACCCTAATTAGGTGTTTGGGAGTAGGAATGACCTGGAGGGCTTCCCATCCAAGTATGGGGAGGGCCTGGGATCGTTCCTGAAGCCTGCCACCCTGGAAACTAGGACTAAAGCACGTGGCAGCATGCCTGGCCTGGCTCATCTTCCTCCTTGCCCTCTCGTTTATTCTTCCTGGAACAGCCCGCAGCCAGCAAGGCCTTTGCAAAACATCCATCGTGTCATTTCCTCTACTCCTGCGCTTGGAACACATTCAGCCGCTCAGAGTGGGTAGCTGCATCAAGACCTGAAAGGAAAGCTTGCAGAGTGCTAGGAAGCAGGACATTACATATGAAGTAGGTCTGTCTCAGCACTAATCCCTACCTACTTCTGCTTGGTCCCCCCCCCCCCCCTGCTCTTTAGCCATGGCTTCCTGCTGGTATCTTTCTGTTCCTGCCCACTTCCTTCCTCTGGCCATCTACCTAAGGAGGTCCTGTTCTGTTTGCAAGCCATTGTCTATGAGGCTGCTTTTGTTTGGGTTTTTGATTGTTGAGTCTGGTCTTCAACTTCTGACCTTCCTGCCTCTCCAATGTGTTAAGTGACCTACCATACCAGAAACACTGTTTTGTTTCCTTGAATTACTCTCCATCTCGTGCACTGGTGTGAGACCCCTTGGAACTGGAGTTGGTAGACAATTGTGAGCTGCCATGTGGGTGCTGGGAATTGAACCCAGGTCCATTTGGAAGAGCAGACAGTGCTCTTAACCATTGAGCCATCTCTCCAGCTCATTGAGTACTGGTCTTAAACTTGAACAAGTTGTCTTGAAACTCCAGATCCTATGGTCTGAGTTCTGGGCTTAAAGGTGTATGCCTCAGCCCACTCTCTGAGTTTTTATTTTTACTTTATTTGGTGCTCTTTTGTAGTTCTGTCTCCCTCAATAATAAAAGCTCTTTTTTTTTTTTGGTTTTTTCGAGACAAGGTTTCTCTGTGTAGTCCTGGCTGTCCTGGAACTCACTCTGTAGACCAGGCTGGCCTCGAACTCAGAAATCCGCCTGCCTCTGCCTCCCAAGTGCTGGGATTAAAGGCATGCACCACCACCACCCGGCCTTATAAAAGCTCTTGATGTTGAAGACTTTGGCTATTTTGGTTGACTATAATGTGTCTCTATCACTGGGGCATGGTCTGGGACAAAGTATATACTAGCCACTTTAAATATGTTTATACAGGAGAAGAATAGCCTGAAAGAGAACACAGAGGCAAAGAGATGGCCTGTGTGTGCGTGTAGGACTGGTTGTGGCATGGGCATAGCTTTGGGGTACCAACTGCACCAGGAAAACACATCTAGACATTCTGAGAGTACGCCGAGGTGTTATCTACAAAGAGCACAAAAGCCAGGTGTGGTTAACTTGGAAGGCTGAGAGAGGAAGATTGCCATTCATTTGAGGCTAGCCTGGGCTACCAAGTAAAACTCTGTCTCAAACAAAAGGGGAAAAAAAGACAAAGCAACCCCCTGGAAGGGTTATTGATGCCCTTCATGGTCACCTTCTTCTTTGTCCATCCCTCCCCAGCACTCACTGGGCCTTTGTAGGGAATCCAGCCTAGGTCTTGGTGACACTGAGACTGTGGCTGCACTTCTGTGTCTGCTATGCTTCCACGCCAAGCTTGTGGGCATGCCTCAGTGTCCCTCTTGGGGCCCAGGGTCTGAGCATGAGAGCTCTGCTATTCAGAAGTGGAACTCCTGGGGAATCTGGCAAGACAGAAAGCATAAAGTATTTCCATCTTGGCTCTCTGGCTGCCTTGGACTTTGTGCCCAGAGGTTTTTGTTCTTAATTCCTGTCTCCTTTTGTGCTGCTCCAGGAAGATAATTACCGGGATTGTGCTTTGAAACTCATCCCTGGCTGGGGCCATAGGAAGGTGCTATCCTTTGTGCCTGTGCTGAAATTCACTTTCTCCCCAAACCTAGGTGGCTCCCAGGAAACAGTTCTTCTGACACTCAGTCTTACCTCTTTTCTGCAAATTGAGGCTACAGTCCCAGGTGGGGCAGATCCTGCTTCAGAGAGGAACAGTGAAGGAGGCCCCGGGGGAGGAAGCTGCCCCAACCCCCACCCCGGGGGGGGGGGGGACATAGAGCCTGCAGGGGAAGCAGCCACTCAACCCTAACCCTGGCCTCCAGCTACATCCCCAGCTTCCTAGATTTGCTCTGTCTGGTGCTCCTTCCTCCACAGCCCTGAGCAGAGCAGGCAGACTGGATAATGAGAGGATGGCTAGCCTAAGGCCACTGTTCACAAGCTTCTGTCCTGAGTCAGCTTCTCCCTGTGGGTACCTGGCAGCTAGGGGTATACCCTCATGAGTCCCAATGCCACCACCACCAAAACATACCTCTGGGGAGTATGGCAGGTTCATGGGGGTGGGTGTGGGGTGGGTGGAGAAGTGAAAAGAAGGAGAAGGGTGGTGGTGGCACCAACCATCCCCTGGCACTCCCCACAGCCAGGCCTGCAGCCAGGGGTTGAATCAAGCTGATAAGAGTGCGGTGGTGGCAATGTTGGTGGCAGCGGTGGCGGTGATGACAACTGTGATGGTAGGCTCAGAGTCACAAGGCTGAAGATAATAGGCAGGCTTTCACTCAGCCTTTGTTGTTGATAGTTTTTTTTTTTTTCAGTTTTGAGACAGGGTCCTAAGTTGGCCCCCAACTCATGTCAGTTGTCCTGCCTCAACCTCCTGAGTCCTAAAATTTAGGTATGAGCCACCATAATTAGTGCCATTCATCTTTTAGTGAACAACGCTATTATTATTATTATATCATCCCCATTACTAGGTTTTGTGTGTTTGTTTTTAGACAGGATCTCATTATCTAGCCCTATATGCCCTACGACTCACCCTGCAGACCAGGCTTGTCCTTGAATTCAGAGATCAGCCTGCCTCTGCCTCTGCCTCCCCCAGTGCTTGGGATTACTTTTTAGCATCACTGTAAAGTAGGATCTGATGCAGAAGTCAATACATAGTTTCAACGATTTTCAAATGGGGGCAAGAAGGGCTGGAGAGATGATGGATCGATGGTAAAGCATGTATACTGGTCTTAGAGAAGACCCAAGGTGAAATTGTGGCATTAGGCAGCTCACTACTGCCTGTAACTAACTCTAGCTCCAAGGTATCCCATGCTTCTGGCTCCTGTGGACTCAAACATGCATGCATACATACCTACACAGAGATGAATACACACATATATAATTAAAAATAAGAAATCTTTTTTCCTTATGTTGGGGCTTGAGAGATGGCTCAGCAGTTAAGATCATGTACTCTCTTACAGAGAACTTGGGTTCAGTTCTCAGCACCCACATGACGGCTCACAGGTGCCTGTAACCACACACCTCTGGGGATCCAATATCCTCTTCTGGCCTCTTCTGCAAGGGCTCCTGCAGGCGTGTTGTACATACAAATTCATGCAGGCAAATGCAGGCAAATACATGTACACATAAAATAAATAGATACAGCCATTCACTGTGGCACACGCCTTTAATCCCAGCACTTGAGAGGCAGAGGCAGGTACATCTCTGTGAGTTTGAGGACAGTCTGGTCTACAAAGAGAGTTCCAGCCAAGGATACATAGAGTAATCCTATCTCAAAACAAAGGAACCAACCCAAACAAACAAAAACTAGAAAGAAATGATTTTAAAATCCTTGTTCTCCTGGAGCTTCCATTCTAGGAAAGAAAAGACAGTCAGAACCCAAAATATATTCTGTACTATATCAGGTAGTGATAGGCCCAGTGGAGAAAATAAACCAGGAAGGAAGCTTAGAGCAAGGATGGCTGACAGCGTTGACCCGGAGGGCTTCTCACACAATCATTGATCAGGACTGACCGCATAGCTGAGCAGGTCAAGATGCTTTCTGCTTACCTGCCAAACGAAATTGGATCCCTGGGGTCCATATGTTGTCTTGTGACCCCCATACATTGACATTGGTTTATACACATGCATGTGAATAAATTAATACATTTGATTGTAAAACATTTTTTTCTTTAAAGAGCATTGGTCTGCTCCAAGAGCTACAGGTGGCTGACTGGCATCTCCATGAAGGATGACAAGGCCAGGGCCACAGGAGCTGCACAGGCTAGGAAGACTGAGAAGAGATGGAGACACTGGAATCTGAGCTCAGATTCTGCCTGAGGTTTGTAACCACCACAGCATGCTATTGGAGAGAGAGAGGGGTGGGGGAGAGGAAAAAGGATAAAAGAGGGCGGATGGCGAGCTTTGCCATGGTGGCCATCTGGTTTCCAAGCTGAAAATCAGGACACGCTCTGAAAGGATTTTCCTGTTGCTAGAATTGAGAGCTGCCGTGTGGGAGAGGCGGTTTGGACGTTTGCCTGAAGGGTGGTATTTCTGAGACATTCCAGTGGCTTGTGGGGCCCATGAGACAGTCCAAGGGTAGGGCATTGCCATGGCAACCATGGCTTGGTCACTGGGCCAGGATCCTGGTGCAGGGCCACATGGCCAGGACACTTCATTGGTTGTGAACCTAAGACATCACGGGTCACAAAGATAAGCCTGATCCACTAAGCAACCCACACTGGATGGACGTGGAAAGGAAGAAGGCTGGGTGTGGCCCACATCAGCCCATGTTCTGAGCCAATCAAGACTGGTCTGGCCGACTCTAGGAAGTGCTCCAGGACAGGTCTAAGGCAACATGAGGAGAAAGTCAAGCTATATCATAATCTGATATACACTTGAGTCTTCCCTCTGTAGCATAATGTTCCCCTGCCCTCCTAAGTCATGCAAAGACCACCTGATTGCTGGTTCATCTTTGTGACAGGTGGGGATAGTGACTCTCTCCTTGGGTAATGCCTGGAGTTCGGGCAGAAACTATTTGGCTTGTGCATGGCAGCTCCATAAGAGTAAGGCTGTTTGCTGTTTCCCTCTACCCAGTAGGAGGCTAAGGGCATGCCAGAGTGGCGGGCTAGGCAGAATGGGAAAAATTAGAGGGCTTGGGAAACACATGACCCACTCACCCAGGGCAGTTGCAGGTTCCCAGCCAAGCCCTGCTTGTGGGTCGGGGCTTTGTCAGCAACAAAAGAACAATACTCTTACCAAAAGGCTAGGCACTATGAAAGTACAAGCCCTCCCTGTCCTCCAGTTGCCAACACTGTGCATCCAAATGTCCTGCTCCTCCAAGTCTTCATACTGCTCTGTGTTCATGACAGCTGTCAGGTGCCTCCAGGACTTCAAACTTCCTGCTTGGTAAGACTTTCCTGGTAAATTTAGCACTTCCCTGAGGTTCATTTAAAAAACAAACAAACAAACAAACAAAACAAAAACAAAAAAACCCAAAAACATTGCTTTTTTTTTTTTTTAACAACATTGCTTTTCAAGAAGGGACGGAGGGGCTGGGAAGGATGGTATATATTTTTACTTAGCATGCTAGAAGCCCTTGGGTTCAGCATGGCCAAACCCAGCGTGGTGACTCTAATCCCAGCATTCAGAACCTAGAAGCAGAGAGGTCAGAAATTCAGAGTTAGCCTTAGCTACATACCAAATTTGAGGCTAGCCAGGGAAACACAAAACCCTGTCAAATATAAGAAAAACAAAACAAAACAAACAACACATGACAACAAAAACCTTTTCAAAGCAGGAAAGAGCCAGAAGACATCTGTCTCCTCCACTCTCCAACTTCCATCGACTGAGTTTTCTCCCTCAGGCCTTGGCCATGGCAGAGCGGAGGAGAGCTGGAATCCAGCCCAGCTTTTTACCAATAATTCATCACGTGACCTTACACTTCCTCTTGGAGCCTCCTTGCCTTCATTTGTAAATCGAGGGGGTTCAGACTAGACTGTTTTTCAGGCCTAATCCTGACCTCTAAACGACTGTATTCATTGATCTTTTCTGCTGGTTCATTCATACACAGCATTTCCACTTCCTGACATAGTATATTTTTTAAAAATGTTTGTTTACTGTCTGTCTTACTCCACTTCGGTTCCTTGCTCCCTGAGGGCAGGAGATTTTGCTTGTTTTAGTCACTGCCAGATTCCTGCCATCTGCAAAAAGAAAAAGAAAAAAAAAAAGAGGTGTGAGTTTGTGTCTGTGTTCTGGAAGGAAGCTGAGGTTGAACATTTAGAATCCAGAAGGGGACGTCACTGAAAGTGTCCTTCTTAGTTGTAGTCCAGGTAAGAGCTCAGCTCTCAGCAGAGAGTATCTGGGGCGGAGCTTGCGGGTCAGACCCCGCTTCCCAGAAGGGTTGCTTGGCGAGAAAGCAGCCACGCCCACCTAGCCCAGCTGGAAAGCAAGCTAGGACTCCATACTCCCACTCAGACCTCCTTTTCCTTCAGCCCCTGCTTTCCGCTAGAAGGGTAAAAAGGAGAGGCTTGGACCCGGGGTGGGGGTGGGGCTCTCTTTGCCAGGACCTGATAAACACATCTGCTGGGTACTGGCCCTGTGCCAGTGTGTACGCTGCTGACCGGCATGTGATCTGCTGGCGTTGTAAAGCTAAGGCTGGGCCCACCAGGCTACTCTACAGGATCTGACACGGTGTTGGGAACTGTCCGCTCGCTCTCCCTGGAGCTGCTCTACCTATGTCTAGATCCAATTTGAGGCAGCAAGTCTGGTTTGTAACGTTACCGCGAGGATGGAAACGGGGTGTGATTGAAGGCAGGGAGGAGACAGTGTCTGTCTAGCCCATGAGTGCTGGCTATGTGGTGCTACCAGCCCTCAGTAGGATGACCTTGGAGTTTAGTTGAGTAGGATTTGAAATCTTACTGCATCATTTCTTTGCTGGGCAATCTTGGACCTGCTTCTTGACATCTCTGGTCTTCTGTTTTCATCCTCTATAAAAATGGAGATGGGGACCAAGGGGGATGTAGAAGTTCTGTGAGGATTTAAAGAGCATCTGTGCACCAGGCTTAGCACAGAGCCTGGACACACCGGGAATGCTCTGTTATTATAATTAGAGACCAGAGGCCACCCCCTTCCCTATTCTCACTCCTCGGGGATCTCCACCCCCTCTCCAGCTCCATTTAATTCTGAGTGTTTTAGGTCATTCTATGGCTGGCGATCTGCCAAGGCTCTGACAAAGACAGGAGTTCCTGCTCATTCATCCTAATGCAAGTTCCTGCGTTTATGATAATAGGGGAAATGCATGAAAGGGCTCACTGCCTGTGGAGGGGAAATCGGCTTAGAATTGAAAACCGAGCCCTTCCTAGGCTCAGCTCTCCCCTCCCAGCGCTTTGGCTGGGGCGACAGAAGGGAGGGTGGCTGGGAGGAGCCGAGAGGGGAAGAGGGCGGTGAGGCAGAACTCACTGAAGGGGACCGAAGGGCAGGGAGGGGGCCGCCGGAGAGGGCCTGGTTCGTCCGGTGAATGGGTTTCAGGGTGGCTGAGGAAGCCTGCCAAAAAGGCGGAGTGAAAAGGCCAGACCCTGTGAGGCGCTGCGCTAGCGGTTTCCATGGCGACCCCAGCTGCCTCTGGGCCCCGGTGGCTGGTTGGCTGGCTCCATGGCGGGGCCTCGTCTGCCCCCACATGGTTACTCAGCTTGAAAAAGAGGCAAAGAAAATCTGATGGGTTGTCTAGGCCCAGTTAGTGCCACTTGTGCTCCCTGCCTCACAAGGGGTGGAGTCCTGAGGCCAGTGGATGCAGGTGCATCTGATCTAGCAGAGGGATCTGGAAAGCAGAGACAGGGTTTGGAGACTTATCAGCCATGGATGAGAAATGCTAGGGATAGGGAGAGATTGAGAGGAACACACACACATACACACACGAGGGGGCGGGGTGGGTGGGGAGGGGAGGGTAGCGAGCCTGCAAGTGCCTTGGGCTCTGTTGGTGGAGTACTTGCCTACATTGAATAGGGCCCTGGGTTCAATTCCCAGCACCGCATACATTAAGTGGTGTTCTATACCAGTACTCCCAGCATTTGTGAGGTGGAGGTATGAAGATCTGAAGTTCAAGGCCATCTTTAGCTACATACCTCCTTAGCAATTAAATATTAAAACAGAAAGACATTTTTTAAAGGATGTGTGTGTTGCGTACATGAGTCAACGTAGGGTCTCTTGGAGTTGAAGTTACAAGAAGTTGCGAGCTACCTGTTGGGTCCACATTGGTGAGGCAGGGGAGATGCCTCAGTGGGTATAGGTGCTTAACCACCAAGGCTGAGGAGCCGAGGTGGATCTTAAGGACCCACAGTGATTGGTGGAAGGAGAGAACTGATACCCGAAGGTCTTTTGTGTCTTTCACACAAAAAAGATAAATATGTGAAATTATCATCAAAGCAGGGCTGGAAAGATGGCTCGTGGGTTAAGAAAAACACCGGCTGTTCTTCCAGAAGAACTCGGTTTTATTCACAGCGCCCACAACTCCAGTCCCAAGGGATTTATTTGATGTCCTTTTCTGGCCTCTGCAGGCACCAGGGATAGACATGATACACACACTAACATGCTAATAAAACATCTATATACATAAAAGTAAGAAATAAAGGTTAAAACATTAAGAATAAAATGAAAAATTAAGAAAAGAGTGAAATTCATTTTATTTGCCACTGAAGGAGGCCCTGCCGCCGCTGGCCCATATGCATGGAGCCCTTCCCAATGCTGAGGCGGGTGTTTCCGGAACACAGTGGGCTGTCCTACCTGGCTCACCTTTTATGGGGAGCTTTATAGAAATCCTCTGGACCATTCCCATCTTCCTCTGCATAGAGTGCCTGCTATTTTGTGAAAGAATGGGTCGGGGCAGGGATCCCATTTGTTTCCAGGCCCACCCTGTGTTCATGACCCTGGCTTCTTCCTCTAGTAAACCCTTTACTCAGATTGCCTTCCAAAGACCCACACTTGGTACATACCTGTAGATCTGGCTAGGGAAGGCTGAGGCAGGGAGATTGCTTGAGCTACATGGGGAGTTCAAGACCAGTCTGGGTAATTTATGGAGACCTCGTTCCTGGAAAATTAAAAAGAGAGCTGGGACTAGAGAGATGGCTCAGTGGTTAAGAGCACTGACTGCTCTTCCAGAGGTCCTGAGTTTAATTCCCAGCAACCACATGGTGGCTCACAACCATCTGTAATGGGATCCGATGCCCTCTTCTGGTGTGTCTGAAGATAGCTACAGTGTACTCATATAAATGAAATTAAATCTTAGAGAGAGAGAGAGGGAGAGGGAGAGAGAGAGAGAAAGAGAGAGAGGAGAGAGAGAGCTGGAACTCTTTAGCTAAGTGGCAGCGCACCCACAAAAGCCTTAGGTGGGGCACATCCAGCACCCACCCTTGGTTCTACAGCAGCCTTAACACTGGCAGAGTACTGTTCACTTGCTTATGGGTGGAAGCTGGAGACAGGGTGAAGGCCTCAGAAACAGGATCTCCCTGGGTGTTGCCCAACACCAGTTTCAGTTCCAGAACAGTCCTAGGAAAATGAAGGACCAGGTTTTCTTAAATGCATATCCCCTCTGATGGAGCTTAGAGAATATAACTGGATGGTTTTGTCTGTCACCTTGACACAAGCTGGAGTTATCATAGAGAAAGGAGCCTCCCTTGAGGAAATGCCTCCATGAGATCCAGCTGTAAGGCGTTTTCTCAATTAGTGATCAAGGGTGGGAGGGCCCACTGTGGGTAGTGCTGCAGGACTGTGAAAGGACAGCATGGTTTCTGGTCGAGCACTGGCTAGAGATGGCCGGAGACCCAGCAGGTTAGAGACCCCACAGATTTCCCTGCAAGGGATGGCATACATTTTACCACCCTCCCAGACGCTAGGCTCCTGACACAAGAACGAAGACCTCCATAGATCCGTGACTTTAAGGCATGTAGGACAACACCCCTACTATTCCCTTCACAGGTAGAGGGGGTGACTACAGGCCAAAGAGCCTCAAGATAGATCTCCATATTAATGAGATACCTAGGCCTGGCGGTGGTGGCGCACGCCTTTAATCCCAGCACTTGGGAGGCAGAGGCAGGTGGATTTCTGAGTTCAAGGCCAGCCTGGTCTACAGGACAGCCAGGATTACACAGAGAAACCCTGTCTCGAGAAAAAAAAAAAAAAAAAAGAGAGAGAGAGAGAGAGAGATACCTAAAGGCCTGAGGGCGAGGCAATTAAACATTTCTTCCCAGACCCTCCTCCTCACAAAAGGTATTTAACCTCAGGCTTGCCCTGAGAATACCTGGTTATAGTTTTCATTCATTTTCCACCTAATTCTCTTCTTTGGAACCCTCATGGGGAACCGTGGAGAAGGTTTGAACCCAGTCTGCACAACCTGAAACCCCATCTTCTTTGAGAAATATATCTTGGAATACCATGCAAAAAATAATCTAGGGTAATTAGAAAAGATTTTTTTTTTTATGACAAGGTTTCTCTGTATATCCCTGGCTGTCCTGGAAGTCACTCTGTAGCCCAGGCTGGCCTCTTAACTCAGAGATCCTCCTACCTCTACCTCCCAAGTGCTGAGATTAAAAGCCTGTGCGGCCACCACCTGGCCTGAGAATATCTTTTTGAGAAGGTGGCCTCTAGGCTAAAGCAATAGCTGGGTTGTTAAAGGTCAGGCTTACAACCCCCACCCCCTCAACCAAAACAAACAAAAAAAACCCAAGCAAACAAAAACATGGCGGCATTCAGGCAGGCATGGTGCTGGAGAAGGAGCTGAGAGTTCTACATCCACAGGAAGGAGGAAGAGAGTGCCACACTGGGCATGGCTTAAGCATCTGAGACCTCAGAACCCACCCTCTAGTGACAGATTTCCTCCAACAAGGCTGTACCTTGTAATAGTGCCAGTCCCTGATGACCAATCCTCCAAACATATGAGTCTGTGGGGACTTTCCTATTCAAACCGCAACAGGGAGCCAGGAGTGCAAAGGTCCTGAGGCAAGAGGAGCATCTTTGGAAGGCTGGTTGCTAGTCAGGGGATTGGACAGGACCAGTCTTTGAAGGGCTTTTTGGCCCAGGGGATGGAGTTTGTTTTTTTGAAGTAAATATATTGTATAACCATGGTGTAGTTTGCCCAGGGGACTGACGGGATGTGGCAACACTCTGGCTTCTAATGGAGAAAGGGTAGGGGTGAGGTGGGCTACAGGAAGGTCTCTGGAAGTAGAGAGAGTGTGGGAGGAAGTGACAGGTGGTGAATTTAGACTGTGTGGGGGAGGGGGTGGAGGAGAACAGAGATTA